GTTGCAGCATGACCAGGCTCTATTGGGGTGTCTCTCTCATGCATCCATGTGCTTGCTACCCTTAAATATATGTACATATGTATTTTAAAGAGCAATAGTGAGAAAAAACTTGCTTGATCGGTGTTTCTTAGGTTAGAATATAAAATCATACAGGCAAAGGCAGTAACCTCTCAGAATTTAATGAATCTCCCTTTGTTTAGTATCCAGCTCTATTTAAGGTTGGCCCAAAGCCAAAGTAACAACTGGACCAAGCTTGTTTCTCATTCTGACCCTTCTTTCCATCCCTCCTCTCTCCCATTTCAGATGCCTAAGGGTCAAATCCTTCCTTCATTCAGCTGACATGTATGGAGAGTGTGCTAGAATCCAGACTTAGGCAGAGTGCCTCATGCCTGGTGCGGCCACTGCTGACCATCAGTTGTGACACAGTACAAAGAGCAGTTTTCCCTCCACTCTTAACTTCCCTTCTCCCTGGACCCACTCCTGCCGAGCTCACAGCTGCCTCTGCTCCACTTTGCTACAAATGACATAATCTGTATGTATCAGTTGAGTCCTGGCAGAAAACAGCCTTGTACTAAAAAGGCCTACATAATAATAATTGAATAAAGCGACTACTTGAAGAGATGCAGCAGGGTTCAGGAAACCAACCAGGCATGCTTACCTCAAGGAATAGAACAGCAAGAAACCCTAACTACCCCTATACCAAAAGGGGGAAGAAAATTATTGGAGATTACTGAAAATATTGTGATTATCACAGAGTGACACAGGCGTTGCTAGTTCCTGGCATCAAAGCAGAAAAAGAATGTGAAATACCCAGACTGCTCTATCCTCTTCTTCCTCTCTCATCTCCTGTCAGTGCCCATTTGGCTGAAACCATAAATCAGAGAGCACGAATGCATAAGTGATATAGTTCACCTAGCACTGTGTCTCCACAGTTTTATGGTGGATCCCAGTAAAATGTACACATTCTTAAGATCCCTCAGGAAGAATGGCATCAATTTCACAACTGTGTAGACCAGGGAAGGAGATGTTTTAGATCAGAGCACTTCAAATCAGGTCTTTTAAATATTAGGTCATTGGGAAAGTCATGACTCATTTTTCTATGTTTTTCTCTTTTGTTGGGGGGGGAGAGGTTTTTGCTATAGGGCGCTTGTGCTCGCCAGAGAGACAGAGAGAGACAGAGAGCCAAAAAGCAAAAAACCACCCTCCAGGGGGGTTGGCCACTCCACAATCCCTTCTCCTCCATTCTCTTCTCGGGATCTTGGGCATGCACGCACATGTGCCCAGCGTGAGTTTAAGCCACCAGGTCCAGGACTCGAACTGTAGTTGACTACATGGGAGTCCAGCGACATAGCCATTACGCTAACTGCTGGTCCCTATTTTTCTATGTTTTTCTATGCAAAAATGCATTGTGAATTTCCCAACGATCCAATAATTAATCCTTCCATTCTGCTCCTATGCATACTTGAAAAATACTCATCAGAAGGCTAATGAATGCTTTGAAACATCATGGTTTTTCCTTCTTTTACATTTTATTCTGGTTAAATTTGAATCAAATCTGGAGGGTGAGGGATGCTTTGTTGATCTGAGTACCTAGACTGTCTCTATAACATCTTCATTTTTTAAATTTTATAGTAGGCCTCAAAGACAGAGAAGAGAAGCACACGAAGATGCCCACAAGCAAGGCAGGTATGGTCATAAACACACCCATGCCTTAACTGAAGTGACTTTCTGCACTGCCCAACTCCCATGTCTCACCCAGGATTATGAAGCAGAGGGTGGAATGGGGAAGGGGGAGTAAGAGGAGAAGGTAGGAGGGGGCTACTGTATCAAGCTGAGTTAGGGAGGGATGTTGGCAGCAATGGGGACTAGCTTTTCCCCTCCTGACATGCCAGCTCCCGTAGGCAGTGTAAGCAGCTTCCAATTCATTAGTTTTTTTTTTTTTTTCTTTCCCTGGGTCACCTCCTTTGCTACTAGCAAGGTAACATCTTCGCTTTAGAATACTTCCGTGTCGGCTCCTACCATGTATGAACTACTTTACGGTTTACTTCCACACATAATCTCATTTAATGAATTACCTACCTTATATCAGTTGAGGAAACTGAGTCTCAGGAAAACAAATGAGTTGATAAACGTACATAACAGGCAGTTTCAAGACAGAGGTCAGAGCCCTTCGGTCTCTAGCCACATTTTCTCCCCTCACGCTAAAGGGTTCCTTCAAGAAGAAAGCTAGAAAAGGACTTAACAGTGGGCTGAGGTAGGTATATGGGAGGAAACTGTATATGGACGATGAAGTGCATCTGGGTAACGATTATCCGACTGTTCCCAAAGTGTCTCAGCCATGTGGAGTAGAGTGAGGGTTTGAGCTGGAAGGGAAAGCTGGTGAGTGTGGGCTGAGCCTGTGCCCTTGACCTCTGCTGGCCCACTCTAGGTCTTCTAACCGGCAGCAGCATCGGGGACTTTGTTCAAAATGCAAATTCTTGGGCTATCATCTAGATCTACCAGATTAGAAACTGCAGGAGTACAGGCAGGCTGAGAATCTAGATTTTAACAAGCCCTTCAGGAAATGCTGATACATGCCAAAGTTTGTGAGCCATTGTACTCCCCCAGAAAGGATGCAGGCCTGATGTCAGTATAAGGAACTAGGAAGTGGTTAATTATTTCTTTAGATCCAAAAGATGGTGCAGAAGGGTGATGAAAAATGTCCAAGCCATGGCAGCACTGCTTATAACAGCAAAAAACTGGAAGTCACTCAAAGGTCTGCCAAGAGAGCACTGGCCCCATGAATTATGTATCTGTGTAACTGAATACTCTGTAGTATAAAGAAAGAAAATTAGAGGGTTAGAAGACCTGGTATGGAAAAAAATCCAAACTACATTAAATAAAGAAAAAGCAAGATCTGTAACGGTTTAAATAAGATGTTAACTTTGTATATAAAAGGGGGAGAATTAAGACTATATATTTGTACTTACTTGTATCTACAAAAAATTCTGGATAGACAGGCAAGAGACTAAAAAGAGAAGTATCTGTGGATGGAGGAAGAGGGTGGATGGAGGCAAAAATGGGAGGTTAACTTTTTACTGCATTTCCTTTAAAACAAAATTGTCAAACCCTACAGTCATATTACCCATTTAGAAAAAGTAAAATATATGGCCCAATGGCCTAGTGGTTAAGGGAGCCAGATCCCACATGGTCAACAAAGATATAAAATGCCACCCTGAAGGCATTTTTAAAAAACATGCCTGCGGTGTATGTGTATGTGCCCCAAAATTCCATTAGGATGGAGAGAAGAAGGGATTGTGGCATGATCATGGCCCACTAACGAATGTTTGCGCTCACTCTCACACACTTTATCTTTCTGGCAAGCACATACAACCTCTGGCAATAAAATTTTTTAAAGGCGAAAATATTGGGTCATAGGAATAGTCATGGTACATCTTTTCATAGGAAAATATGCCATGACTTCTCCAACAACCCAATAAATAAAAATGTCTCTAGGTGCAATTCACAAGCAGCAGCATAAGAAGCTGTTTCCCATGGAGCTAGGATGATCAAGTATTTGATAGAGGACAAGTCTACCCTCCCTCCATACAGTGGGTCAACAGAGGTCAAGTGCACAGGCTTATTCTCCCCTCTAGCTCAACATCCCTCCCCAACCCCAAATGGCTAAGGCCTTTTGGTGGAGTTTGGGCTTGTGAACAGAATAGAGACCAGCAGTTCTGTCTTGCTTACACATTAAAATTATCTAGGAAACTTTTTTTTCTAAATTTTTACCACAAGATACTTGTGCTTGCTCAAGAGAGCAGAGAGAAACAGAGTGAGGGAAAGTAAGGAATGATCCCCTGGGGAGATGGTACACTATAATCCCTTCTCCTATATTTTTCTCGAGATCTTGGACATGTATGCATAGGTGCCCGGTGTGATTTTCAAGCCACCAGGTCCAGAGCTCAAACCACAGTCAGCAATGTGGGAGTACAACGCCTTAACAAGGCCACCTGCTGGCCCCCCCCATCTGGGGAACTTTTAAAAATAGCAATATCCAAGCCCTATTCCCAGACCATCCAAAAAAGAATCTCTGATGTGGTGCCTGGGCAATAGTATTTTTTGTTTTAATTTGCTATAGCACACATGTGCCTACCATAGAGACAGATAAAAGAAAAGGAAACCAAGAAAGCACAACACCCCCCCACCTCCCCAACACCACAGCATGGGGCATAGTCATGCCACAATCTCTTCTCTTCCATCTCTCTCTCTTTTCAGGATTCTAGGAATGCATGCATATATGCTCAGCATGTTTTTCAAGGCACTGGGTCTAGGACTTGAATTGCATGGCCGACCATATGAGATCCAGCCACCTTAACCACCAGGCCATGGGCTGGCCCCTGCATCAGCATTTTTAAAGCACCTCAAACATTGTTAAGAATTATTATTTTGGACCATCTGGCTCAGTCCCTTTATCCAGGAAGCAGGAGGAAGAAAAATGTGACATCCAGTAGTTTACAGGAAGCAGTAACACATCAGGTCACATATGTCAAAATCAAATAAAATGCAAACATTTTTTGTCTGGCATGTTTAGACATGTGATCAATTTGTTTTTCCCTCCTCGGCAGCCCAATCCTGAAACGAAGCCCTGACATCACCAAATCGCCTCTGACGAAGTCGGAGCAGCTGCTGAGGATAGATGACCATGATTTCAGCATGAGGCCTGGCTTCGGAGGTATGAGACATACATTCTTGGGGGCATCTTCTTTCCACATGTCCTTCTGTCTGTCCACAGGCAGGAAATCAAGTCAAAGGACCACACAGTCTTGCCTTCCCCTGATCAGACCTGCCTTAGCGGTGCTTGATGGACAAGGCGCCTAGACCACAGCACCTTCTGAACATGGGCCCTGCCCTGTCGGGCTCTGATGAACAATTCCAGGAGCCGCCTGTCTTGGTGTGTTTCTAACAGCAATACCTGAGGCTGAATGATTCGTAAAGAAACAGCAGTGTCTTTAACTCACAGTTCTGGTGGCTGGAAAGCTGAAAGACACAGGCAGACCGTCAACATGGCTGACGCGAGCAGACAGGACAGCAGCACGTGATGTGAGCACGCCAGGCAGCTTTCCCGCTCTAACTGGCTCTCGCGAGAACTAACCCCTTCTCCTGAGAGCTAGACCTCTCACGAGACCACATTAATCCAATCACAAGCCCAGTGCCTCTATGATCCCATCACAATGATCCACTCGCCACGCACTAGGACCAAATTGCAAAACATGGACTTTTAGGGGACAGAGCATTATCCAAGCCTTAACAGCACTTGTTTGTGGGCAGCCGGGCTAGGCCAGTCAGCTGTCCTTGGGCCACTGCTCCTGACAACGACGGTTCGGCATCAGTGAGGCCAACAACCAGCCGTGGGAAAGGCCGCGGGGAGATGGGACAGCTGCAACCTTCAGCTGCCTCTTTAAAATGCTCCAAAATAACAACCTTGGACTAAATTTTCTCTCATCTGGAAGCTGGCAGGCAGAACTCTGGCACATATCTAGGGGCAGATTGTGGTCTGTTGGTTTTAATTGCATGAAAATGTATTGAGAAAACAATAATTCAGTGTCGAAGAATGGCAAAGCCCTTTGAAGCTTCTTCTGCAGCTGCTGGGTTTCAGACTTCTTAGTGTCAGAGTTTTCATACTTCTGAGTTTATTTTCCTAGAAAAAGATACTTATTTTAGAAATCATTGTAATGCTGTTTATTTTGTCTTGTCACTTTTGTCCAAAGAATAAATAGGTCTAGAAGGGAGTCTGTATCCAGTCCATAGTCTGCTGCTATGGAATTGAAACTCACCTACTCACTCCATTATTTAAGTGCGTTTGATGCCTGCCTAACATCTTTTTTCTTTTCTTTCTCTTTTTTTTCTTTTTCTTTTTTTTTTTTTTTTGGAGAGGTGTTTGCTATAGGGCATGTGCACTTGCCAGGCAGAGAGAGACAGAAAGCTAGAAATCACCCCCCCCAGGGGGGATGGCCACGCCACAATCCCTTCTCCTCCATTCTCTTCTCAGGATCTTGGGCACACACACACAGGCGCCCGGTGTGTTTTAAGCCACTGGATCCGGGACGCGAACCGTGGTGGACTACATGGGAGTCCAGCAACATAGTCATTACACTAACTGCTGGTCCCCCTGCCTAACATCTTGAAAGCAGGGCTTAAAGGGAGCAGGAATTCCCTTCGTTATGCTTTCTTACTTTTGGTCAGCATTACATTTTTATGGCCCAGAAATGACAAGTCCATCCCAATGCTTCATGCTACCCCTGGAAGTAACTATCACATAGCAAAGATGAGGATTTGTTGGTTTGACAAAGGACCTGAACATTACTTCAGTTCTGGGTGCCTATTACCTAGCAATGCCTTTCTCATGGCCAGACAAAAGCCATTAGCTTCCCTGATGAAAGAGGATACAAAATCAAGGAGTAAATATAGAAAACACAGTGGGTGATCTCGTGCTAAGCAGCAGGTCAATTACTTCTTAGATCAAACGTATCTTTGACTTGGGTCTTCTCTATACCTTCAGGTGAGCATTTGTAACCAAATAATCAATTTTTTTTTTTTTGGAGAAATTTTTGCTATAGAGTATGTGTGCTTGCTGGAGACAAAGAGAGATAGAAAGCAAGAAATCATCCCCCAGGGGGATGGCCACACCTCAGTCCCTTCTTTTGCATTCTTCTGGGATTTGGAGCAAACACACACATACGCCTGGTATGAGTTTGAAGTCACGGGGTCTGGGATTCAAACCATGGTCAACTATGTGGGAGTCCAGCAATATAACCATTACACCATCTGCTGGTTCCAAAGAAGGTTAAATATTAACCCCTTCCCTTCAGAATCACTTGGATGATCAGGAAAAAAAAAATTTTTTTTTAACTTTTGCTGGAGTATTCCAGGGAACCAGCCCATGATTCCATCATTTTATCTCTAGTTTGACTTCAGGTTGGCATGTCCAAACCTTTAAATCTGACATGACACTGAGGTTCCGAGGAAAATGCTACTTTTGCTTATTTTTTCCATAGTAAAATTTCAAGCAAAAAAGAATGAATACTGTTATTATGCCCTGTCCCCAGGCCCAGCCATTCCTGTGGGTGTGGATGTGCAGGTGGAGAGCTTGGATAGCATCTCAGAGGTTGACATGGTAAGTGCTTCTCTGACCAGGGAAGTGGGCAAGGGGATTCATGTGGCCCTGGGCCAACAGCTTCAAGTACCTAAATTCACTTAGTCTTCCAGCTCCCCTGGGATTTGGGAATTCCTACACACTTTTTACAGGTGGTGCAAAGGGGTTATGACATTTGCCCAAACCCACCCCATTGGTATGGAATAGCCAGATGACAAACCAACTCTGCACCCTCCAACCCTGGTGCCCAGGCTCCTGCTGCCAGGATGCATTCTCTGGGCAGTGCTCTCAGTTGTAAACAGCAAGGTCCAAGGTTGCAACTGCCAAGTAGCCTGACACTTGTGCATTCTGTGTCTGACTGTAGAAATGCAGAAGAAACAAGTGCCCCTTTTCCCCTTCCTTTAAGGTGGATTCAGATTATTTTTAATGGACTAATCTACAACTTCTGGTTTATAGAACTTTTTAGGACCTTATCTTAGTTTGAGTCTCCTAAGAAACAGACTATGTGGGAGTCCAGCAATATAACCATTACACCATCTGCTGGTTCCAAAGAAGGTTAAATATTAACCCCTTCCCTTCAGAATCACTTGGATGATCAGGAAAAAAAAAATTTTTTTTTAACTTTTGCTGGAGTATTCCAGGGAACCAGCCCATGATTCCATCATTTTATCTCTAGTTTGACTTCAGGTTGGCATGTCCAAACCTTTAAATCTGACATGACACTGAGGTTCCAAGGAAAATGCTACTTTTGCTTATTTTTTCCATAGTAAAATTTCAAGCAAAAAAGAATGAATACTGTTATTATGCCCTGTCCCCAGGCCCAGCCATTCCTGTGGGTGTGGATGTGCAGGTGGAGAGCTTGGATAGCATCTCAGAGGTTGACATGGTAAGTGCTTCTCTGACCAGGGAAGTGGGCAAGGGGATTCATGTGGCCCTGGGCCAACAGCTTCAAGTACCTAAATTCACTTAGTCTTCCAGCTCCCCTGGGATTTGGGAATTCCTACACACTTTTTACAGGTGGTGCAAAGGGGTTATGACATTTGCCCAAACCCACCCCATTGGTATGGAATAGCCAGATGACAAACCAACTCTGCACCCTCCAACCCTGGTGCCCAGGCTCCTGCTGCCAGGATGCATTCTCTGGGCAGTGCTCTCAGTTGTAAACAGCAAGGTCCAAGGTTGCAACTGCCAAGTAGCCTGACACTTGTGCATTCTGTGTCTGACTGTAGAAATGCAGAAGAAACAAGTGCCCCTTTTCCCCTTCCTTTAAGGTGGATTCAGATTATTTTTAATGGACTAATCTACAACTTCTGGTTTATAGAACTTTTTAGGACCTTATCTTAGTTTGAGTCTCCTAAGAAACAGACCTGAGACAAGCATTCTAACATAAGTAGTTCTTGTTTGGGAGGTGAGCCCAGAAAGCACCTGAAGAAAAAAGAAGACAAGGAAAGAAAGAAAGGAAGAAGGGCTGTGCTATCAAACTACAGAATTCAGTCCCAGCCCAATGGAGTCAGAAAGGAAACAACTCAGGCTTACCCCAGCTGAGATATGAGAACACTGGGACATTTGTCCACCAGCCTACCTTTGGTTGAGGACTGCGCACACGCCCACTCTCTGGCACTTGCAGCTTGAGCCCCAGGTATTGGCAGTAGTAGTCTCCCCAGTATAGAGGGGAATGCCAGCACGTGGGCTGGGGCTCGGGGACACTGTGTTACAGGCCACTGTCTGAGTTCTCCCCTGTAGTGTTCTCTTCCTCCTACAAACCTCAGAGACCAGAAGCAGGACTGGCTCCATTTCATTTCCCAGCCTCATAACAGTGCCATAAGGTACAGAACCTCCTATCACTCCCAGGAGCTAGTGTGTCTAAGGCTCCCTCCTCCCTTTCCACCCCCAGGACTTTACCATGACCCTCTACCTGAGGCACTACTGGAAGGATGAGAGGCTGTCTTTTCCCAGTGCCAACAACCTCAGCATGACATTCGATGGCCGGCTGGTAAAGAAGATCTGGGTCCCGGACATGTTTTTTGTGCACTCCAAGCGCTCCTTCATCCATGACACCACCACAGACAATGTCATGCTACGGGTCCAACCCGATGGTACTGTGCTCTACAGTCTCAGGTAGGAAGAATGGCAGATCATTCATCTTAACCAAGAAAAGCATGGATTTCACAACAGCAATTTTGCTGTTGTGAATATCTACTCTCTAACATTTTAGTAGCTGTCAACTTCTTAATATCAAGAAACTAACTTTACACATGAGTAGAAATTTTAGAGGATTAGTCTTATTAAATCATTTTAAAAGTATTAAAAAATACATTTGGGGAAAGTTCTCAAGCTAATAATTATTATTTATGCCATATCTTGTATATTCCAATGAAAAATATTTTAATAAACGACTCTCTAATAGGAGTCAGAGAAATAGATAATGAATTCTTCTCGAAGATGTCAACCTAATATTAAAAAAGATCTGACCCAAAGTTAATTTAATGGACAAAAGAGTTGATTCAAGCCCAAACTATACGACAGGTGCCTGGAGGAACAAAGCCTCAATTACCTGTAGTCAGTTGTCCCCACAATGGTAGAATCCAGGGTTCATTTTCTAGAAGAACAAAGTGATAAGAAGAGTGGGCTATGGGAGTTACAAGGAAGCCCTTACATTGGTGACATTTTCAATATAAGCTTTTCATTAGTTATTGAATTGCTCATGGGTTAAGTCTCGTAGACAACCTGTTTTCCACAACCAGAAGTAGTTTCCTACTTGTCCAGAACTTGTACGTTTTAACAATGTGTGTAAATTTATGACTTCAGCTGTGTCAGTTGGTCTGGCAGTTTCTCTTACATCATTCAAAGAGATTACAGGGTTAGAAGGATGGCTAAAGTCCCATGTCTGTATATCTCTCAGGGCCTAGTTTGACATGCCTTACAATTTTTTTTTTCTCAACTGTTTGCCACCTGTGATCTCTCTGATTCACAGTTTTTGGAGTACAGTTTACAAAAATTCTTTTGCCCCTCCTGACCAGCTACAGGCATATTTTCTTTTTCTTTCTTTTTCTTTTCTTTTTTTTTTTTTTTTTTTAGAGAGACATTTTTGCTATAGGGCACATGTACTTGCTGGAGAGACAGAATGTGAGAAATCACTTCCTGGTAAGAAGGCCATGCTACAGTCCCGTCTCCTCCATTCTCCTCTCAAGATTGTGGGCACACATGCCCAGTGCGAGTTTTAGAGTCCCAGGTCCAGGACTTGAACCATGGTCAACTATGTGGGAGTTCAGTGACCATTATGCTGTCTGCTGGTCCCTCCACAGGCATATTTTCTATCCTGAGACGCTATGGGGTTCTCGGGCTACTTCATGACTTTAAATGTCATTCTGAACCTCGCTTTTACAATTTAAAGACTAAAATCTTTTCTTCATACATGCTCAGATGGCTTAGACATGTTTAATTGCTTATTGAGCACTGACCTATGGAAAACTTTCCCTAAACAATGACCTGGAGTGTGACTTCACTGCATGGCCAGCTTTAGAAACTTGTGGTACAGGGGACCTGCAGGTGGTGTGGTGGTTAACGTGCTGGACACTCCCACATGGCTGACCATGGTTCAAGTCCTAGACCTGGTGGCTTGCTTTCTCACTTTCTGTCTCTCTCTCTGTCTCTGGTCAAATTGGTAAACATGAAGGAATAAATAAAATTAAATGAATAATTATTTTTTTAAAAAAAGAAAGAAACTTATGGTACTGTCTCCCTGGTGGGGTGTGGAGGTGAGCTACAAGCCTGCACAGAGAAGGGGTGCAGTTACTGCTTTAATGTACCCCTCTCATGCTGTGCAGATGGCACACTTTAGTTTTATAGGCTGTTTGGGCTCATAGCTTGATAAAATGGTGAAGGTGAAGGGGATTCCTGGATGGTTGCACAGTGTATTTTTAAGGTCAGAGATCATAACGCCAAGGCTGAATTTCTGTCCCTGTTCCGCAAGGGAATATTTATAATGATCCCTCAGCACTTATCCTAAGCAATTAGATGTCAGAACTCGGAATGGGTTTGTGGGATTTTTGTCTCCATAGCTGCAAATGCCTCTTCCCATAGGAGGTACTCAGGTAGGTTAAGAACATGCCACCTCTTCGCCAAGCCATGTTGGGCTGATTCTCTTTGGAGTCTTCATTCCGAACCTTTTCAAGGCATGTCTGACTGGTCCCAAACCACCAACAAAACAATTCAAGTCTATAGCACACCCAGGAGGCAGGGAACCAGATCACAGCACACTTGACCATTGGCGTGCCATAAGTATTTAACAACTGGATGTCTGAAGACAAGTATGCATATGTATACATTATAAACAGAGTACATGACTTATAAGCAAAATAAAATATGTGATACTCCTTATTATTATAAATTCTTTATACATATAACATAAGCATTATGTTATATTTCCTGTTCCATGGAAAGCACCACTATCTGGTCTGGGGATACAGCCTCTCGGCTCTGGAGTTGCTGCTGAGGAAATAGTAGGGGAGAAAAGAAAGGAAGGCAGAATGAGTGGCGCTGCTTGGGCCGGTGGCAGGTTGCAGGCTGCTGGTGTTGTGACTGAGGAGAACGGAGAGTGGGTTCAGCCTTTCTCACCTGGATCCCAGCAATGGTGAGTGCTGCCAGGGAGTCTCACCCACATGGGGTGAAGTGTTCAGCCTCCCCAGATGATGATCTTGGATCCAGCAATTGGGAGGCAGCAGACTTAGGCAATGAAGAGAGAAAACAAAAGTTCTTGAGACTTATGGGTGCAAGAAAGAAAGCACATACTAGTCATCTGGTTATAGGAGATCACAAGTCAACATCTCACTTCTGAACAGGGGAAGAAGACAAGAAAATTGATGAAGAATAGGAGTTTCAGTATCAGCAAAGTGTCTACAGTAAATTATTAGGAAGATATCGATGACATTGTGGACTTGGCTTCAGTGAGGTAGAAGATCATGATGGTGAGGGTGATGTGGCTGGAGATGATGATGATGATGGAGATGATGATGATGATTCACCTGGTCCTGAACATCCAGATGACACTGAAAGTGATTCAGAGTCAGAGAAAGAAAAGCCTGCTGAAGAACTCCAAGCTACTGAGCATCCTGATGAAGTAGAAGATCCCAAACACAAAAGTGATGACAAAAGCAATTATAAAATGATGCTTGTTAAATCCAGTGGTTCCTAACTCCAAAACACTTAGTCTTTGTATTAAAAGTAACCCTTATTGTTATAATGCACAGTGGAGGACTGCTTATAGAGCACAGACCTTCGTACTATAATTTTTAAAAAGGCTCTTTTAAATAATAACAAAGAGTGTTTGCTTTCCAATGCCATGGGTTACACTTTTATGGGCATGACTACATCCATTTTTGTAAAGAGTAAGAGCTGTATAAAATAAGAAATAAATACAGTACTCAACTTCCTTTTATGTTAGCATCATCAGCCCCCTAACCACACCTTTTTAGCCCCTCAAATGCAGTAAGGAGGAGACATTTTGTTTGGTAACAATTTAATATTTTTTGTTGTTCATATTTTTATCCTATAAAAATTTGATATTGTGATGTGTTCATGAAAAAATACTCTCTAATTATACTTTTCTTATAGTAGAACTATTTATTCGTCATGGCTATTTCTGCTATCAGCCACAATCTAAATTAATGTTGGCAAAAGAGTAGGCCCTTAGTTTACTCTTACTGATTCAGCTCTACTCTACTGGACCAAAGCAACATGAGAGCAAGTACTTTCACATTTGTTAGGCTGGAGTCACATTGGGAGTATTTTGATCCCAAGCTGTCTATATGATTTGGATTACGTAGTATGTTAGATTTTTGATAAAATGTGGCCAATTTTTACAGAAGAAATTGTTTCTCTGGTCATTTAGTCTTATCTATGTAGTAATACGTAAAACTGGATTTTTTTTAAAGGTAATATGTGACCACAGTTTATTTTCTCGCTAAGGTCTAAATATAGAGAAATTAGTTTCCCATATTTGGTTGTGATACTTTTATCCTCACCTAAAAAATGAGGAACGGGCTTGCTGAAGAAGAAGCTGAAACAGACTCTCTGGGTTTTATCCCATTGCTGTTAGTTTCTCACATTACTCAAAAGTATTTCTGATTTTATTGTTGCTTCTGCTAGAGTGAAATTAGAATGATCTGTTATACGGTTGATTTGTACAACAGCTTTGGATTAACACAGTTGTATTATGGGCTAGTCAGTGGATTTGAATAATTGGGTCCAGAATCTTGTATCCAAATAACAAGTTCAAAGGCTTGAGTCAAATCTGTTTGTGAACTGATCTATTACATATCTCGATATGTGGGTGTGGTTTGATGTGTTGAATTTCTTTTTTAAAAATTAGCCCTGTCATAGGACCAGCAGTTAGCGTAATGGTTATGTCGCTGGGCTCCCATGTAGTCGATCGCGGTTCGCGTCCCGGACCCGGTGGCTTAAAACTCACACCGGGCACATGTGTGTGCGTGCCCAAGATCCCGAGAGGAGAATGGAGAAGAAGGAATTGCAGCATGGCCATCCCCCCTGGGAGGTGATTTCTCGCTTTCTGTCTCTCTATCTCTCTCTATCTGGCGAGCGCATGTGCCCTATAGCAAAAACCTCTAAAAAAAAAAAATTAGCCCTGTCATTTGGAAACTTAAAACGTGTTAGAAGAGTATAGCAACTAGAACAGGTGACTTCTGGTTTACAGACTTCATGTTGAAATATTTTTCATGTATCAGACCACCAAGGTTTTTGTTTTGTTTTGTTTTTTAAAAATTTCTCACATAATCTAAAATAAATTCTACCCTATATAGCAAAATACTGAGTCTGCATGGTAGGCGATATTTATGACATTTAACAAATGATTTGGCTTGAAGAATTTTTGCTTCATTTGACAATTTTAGTTTGACCACTGACTTTCAGATTTTGACTCTGAAATTGCTTATTGTAATAAACTTAAGTAGAAAAAAAGAAAGAAAGAAAGGCAAAATGAATGAGAGGGGTGAAAAGAAGCAAGATTTTAGGACTGGTGGTTTCAAAAGTGTCTCTCAACTGGAATTGGAGGCCAAAGGGAGGTGACGTGTTTGTTTATATAGAGGCAAGAGTCAGCGTCCTTGGCGCTCAGCCAGCAACTGTCTCAGCCAAAGCCAGAAGAATGGGGAGGGGCTGGTTAGGCCAGATCCTGTGAGCACCCTGCGGCCTCCAGCTCCATTACCTGCTACCCAGGACCCTGGTGTAGCCCTTGCAGGATCACTCAGCTCACCTCTCGCCCTGTCTTCCTTCTCACCCACATTTCTCTGAGCCTAGATGAAATGAGACATACACACACACCCTTGGTGCCCACTTGACTGCTAAGCTACTTCCCCTCTCTCTTTCCTTTCTTCCTGGGTTCCTGACCCCCTTCATCCGCTCCTGGCAGTCCTACGTGGGCCATCGCCCTGGCAGCACAGGTCCTACCCAACTCCCCTTGACTTGGTGATGCCCAAAGCCCTTGAACCTGTGCCTAGTGTCTCTAGTTCCCATCCTCTGGGACCTGCCTGGGACCCCTCAATGGCCACTCCCAATTAATTCTCACTAGCTCAAGTGCCCCATCCCCATCCCTACAGCCCCTCAAAAAAAACTCACTATCAATATTTATAATACTATCACCCTACTCAGACTATGAGTAAATGTTTGCAAGTATTTTCTCAGTTACATCATGGACAAATGAGTGTCGATCCATGCATGCCAACTGAAATTTGTGTTTAGAGTGAAAAGACAAAAGTGAAACAATACGTAATTATGTACGAACTTTATTCACTCATCAAAGACATAAGCAACTTTTTTTGTTGAACTGGGTAATAGCTTTCAAATATTAGAAGAATATATTTCCTCAATATTTTGTACTATTTACAATATAGCAGTGTTAGACATAACACATTTTTAGGTTTAATCTGCTTTCAAAAAGTCTAGACCATCAACAAAACAATAAATCAAACTCTGATTGGTAGCATTTGTTGATTTCTGTGGTGTAAATATCCCTGTTACAGCTTACTTCAAGCTACCTGCCTGATGTCACTAAATGCAGAGTTAGGAAAAAATAGTGGCAGTATATCATTACACAGTACATATGCAATATTCACCACACATACATATCTGATGGGAATAACTTCAGAAGTATAGCTAATCATAAAATGTCATAATAATTAGGAAGTGATGAGTTTTGAGTATTACTTTTGCTCTTAATTAACTTATTTAAGTTTAATTTCTAATAATGACTGTGCTTAACAACCAGCTCACAAACTTTCTGAAAATCTAATAGCTCTCCAGAGTCAGTGGAAATCTAGTTTAATACGATACTGGGTGTGACCACAAGAGACAGAATAGGGGCCGGCTGTGTGGCACAGTGGTTTTGCCCAACAGAAACTGAATCCCACATGGCAGCTGTGGTTTGGCTCCCCCACCGAGTCTGCCTGAAACATGCTGGGTACACATAGGAGTCCCAAGATCTCACAGGCTGGAGGACTGGGGAAGGGGATGGCGGCATGACCATACCCTGTGGAGAGTGCTCATCTCTCTCACCTTTGCATGCACAGGCATGTGCTCTGCCATGGATATGAAAAACAAGGAGAAAAGACGAGAACAGAGGAAACAAGGGAATGGAAAACCTTCTAATGTTCAGGATCAAAACACACAGTGAGCCTCTCCCACCAAACGGAACACCGCCTTTCCATCCTTGGGCCTAACAATAGATAATTCGATTTCTCATTGTGAATGAAGTCCTGGGTTTTCCAATACTATGATCTCCATGGAATTAGCCACTAAAAACATACACCCACTGGTAGATTACTATGATCAATATAAAGATATCAACATTGTTAAAAAAAAATACAACAAAGGTGCTGAATCTAGCAACTGGCCTAAGTGTGTATACAATATTGTAGACTGTATATATATATAATACTGAATATCAATAAAATGAATAAAACAACAGTAGAATTTGGATTTATCTAAAACAGGAGAACAATATATGCTTCTATACTTCTTTAAGAAACCCTATTATATGAGCTTTTATTTCACATGGTTGTATTTGTTGATACCATTGCTCCTTTAAAAGGTTTAAATGTGATAAGAATTAGCAGAGACATTCTAGTTGCCTCATGCGTATCCTAGGGTTAAACATAAATACCTAAAACTGCTCCAAAGAGGTTACTACTTAACTAAATGCTTATGAATAATAAGAAGGAGACAATTATTATATTGGAAAGAAGCAGAAACCTTTTCTGTTTGTGTTATCATTTCACACTTGTCTTGCAGGCTCCAAAAGCTTGGATTTTTTTCTTTTCATTTCCAGGGTGACAGTGACTGCAATGTGCAACATGGACTTCAGCCGATTTCCCCTGGACACACAAACGTGCTCACTTGAAATCGAAAGCTGTGAGTAGACTTGTACCCAGGCATCAGGCACAGCTAAATCACTCTCAATACCTCTAACTCTGGGAGCAGGAACAGTATATGTTCCTCTTTCATGGCTATGATTTTACAGTGACTTTTTAGATTGAAGCTAAGTCTGGAATTGTTTTTAAAATTAGAAACAAATTTGGTACTAAAACCTTGTATTCACATAACTTATCTTTTTTGTTTGTTTGTTTGTTTACAGGTTTTTGCCTTAGGGCACATGCGCTTTGGGGGGCTGGAGACAGTGAGAGGGAAAATGAGAAGTCACCTCCCACAGGGGGATGGCCATGCTGAAATCCCCTCTCCCCCTGGGATCTTGGGCAAGCATGCACACATACCTGGTGTGAGTTTCAAGCCACCGGGTCCGAGACTCAAACTGCAGTTGACCATGTGGGAGTCCGGTGACGTAACCACTATGCAATCTGCTGGACCCAACATAGCTGATCTTTTTTAATGCTCTGTGGCAATAATTTTAAACATTGCTCCATGGAACCTAGACTTTAGTTCCCCCAGACAACTAAATGGGGGAGGAGCATTAGAGGACTAAGCAAATGTGTGCCCCCTTCCTACCCCTCAGACACACACACACTCTCCACCCAGAGAACTTTTTTTTTTTTTTTTAAAGAGGCTTTTGCCTTAGGGCACATGCGCTCAAGGGGAGAGAGACAGATTTAGTGAGAAGGTTGGCCATGTCTCAATCCTTATTCTTCCATTCTCCTCCCAGGATCTTGGGTACACATGCACACACACCCGGTGTGATTTTCAAGCCACCCAATCCGGGACTCAAACCAGAGTCAGCCATGTGGAAACCCAGTGACGTAACTGATATGCCATCTGCTGGCCCCAGCAAGCTTAAAAAAAAAAAAAAACTAAGTTAATTTATTTATTTCTACCATGAGCAAGTGAAAGGGAAAGGGGGAGGGAGCACCCCCAACAGGGTCTTGATGATGCAGTCTACCACTAGCCTTCAGCCAGCTCCTAATCATGGGCAAGCACATTCCTGGCATACTCAGGGAGGGCTCCAGACTTGAACTGGGAATCTTCTCCTATGACATTGCCTCACATTTTACCACTGCACTACCATCTGGTCCCAGAAAGTTCATTTTTGATCTGTTTTATTCTAAATATGATTTCTGCTGAAGAAGGAATTTCCTAGAAAAAAATAAGTTTGAGCACAGTTTCACAAGGGAATTACCACTGTGGTTTGGGTTATGGTTGAGACTGTCAGGTACAACCTAAAGACAACAGGAAACTTACACACATATGGAAGACCTGGAAAAGCTGAAGACTAGACCCCATGACACTTAGGAATTAAAGAAAAAATAGACAAATTAGTCTTCATGAAAGTTTTTAAAAGTTGTACATTAAAAGACACTACCAACAGAATAAAAAGCACCCCACAGAATGGGAGAAAAATATTGACAAATTATATATCTGATGAGGGACTGGTATCCCGAATATATAGAAAGCTCCTAAAACTCAATAACAATAACAACAAAATCCCACTTAAAAATTGGGCACAGGGGGCCAGCAGGTGACATTGTGGTTAAGCAGCTGGATGCCACATGGCTGACTTCATAGTTCAAGTTCTGGATCTGACATCTTGAAAGATATGTTGAGCCCACGTTGTATGTGTGTCCAAAATTCCAAGAGGAAAATGGAGCAGAAGGGATTGTTGCATGGCCATCCCCCCCCCCCCCCCACCCCGTGGCGTGGCCAACCCCCCCCCCCGCCCACCACCAAGGGATGATTTCTCACTTTCTCTCTCTCTCTCTGTTCCTCTCTGATGAGTATACACATCTTATAGCAAAACTAAAAATAAAAAAATAAACAAACAAAACTGGGCAAAAGACTTGAATAGACATTTCTCTTAAAAAGATATACAGAAGTTCACAGACAAAATTTCTTCTTCCAGGAAACCTCAGCTCTGCTCTTAAGGCTTTTCACCTGATTGTATCAGGTGCAGCCCAGTTATCCAGAATAGTCTCCTTTATTTAAAATCTATTGGCTGTAGATACTAGACACAGCTACAAAATACCATTGCAGATGAGTGTCTGGTTTTATAAGTGGGTACTATGGCCAAGCCAAGTTAGCACACGAAACTGACAATCCAATAGGCCGAGGGTTATAAATCAGGAATAGGGGATGGACAGTGGTGCACTGGTAAAACACAATGCTTTGTGAGGCTGACCCACACGGAATGGTTCCAAGTTCACATCTGGAAACCTCTCTAAGTATGCTGGCCATGTGCCCTTGCCCTGGGACTGGCTGAGGTTAGAGGTGCATCACAGCATCAAGACCCTGTTGAGGGGGTTTCTTGTCTTTCTCTTTCTCTCTCTTCCTCTGTCTCTCTTGCTCATAGCAGTAATAAAATTTAAAAGGGGGGACAGGAATAAAATAGCATCAGGGTGTCCCAAAAAGAACCATTCACACATGAGCAAAAAAGAGAACTCCATTAGGCTTTATTTCAGTTATGCCCAGGCAGGTTTGCTCAACTGGACTAAAACATGTATTCATCAAAAGCAAGTGAGGCTGGGAGAACTGGTAGCACCAAAGAGATAATTATTGTGGAATCACTTGACTTCATTGTAGGCTTACAGAGAGGGGACCATTCTACTCCCTTTTCTTTATGGATCCTTAGATCCATAAAGTGGATCTAAATGGTGTCTCAAGGCATCTGCCATCAATTGATGAATCACTACATTTTGAAAGAAGAAAGGAAAGGGCTACCTTACCTTCAGTTATAAGGCTGAACTATGTGAAATTTAGTTGATACTAAACCATTTGTGACCTACAAAAATAGCAATTTCATGTAGTTTAACCTAACAATAGCAGGCTGAATTGTGGGGCAGAAATGGTGAGCATTTAAGCTTGAGAGTGAGCTCTTGTAAAAACTGGAAGATTGGGGAGGTTGGATTGTCTTTTTGGACTTTGTTTTGCTTTATTTAGACTATGGTTTGTCTGCTTAAACTACCTCATCACCTTGTCAGTGTGTTGGGTGGAAGATCAGGAAACCTGTCTTCCACAGAGCCCAACAGACCAGGCCATCTGCTACTGCCTAGTGCCTCATGCTGTCACTCATCTTTTTTTTTTTTGGAGAGATTTTCACTGTAGGGCGCGTGCGCTCGCCAGACAGACAGACAGAGACTTAGAGACAGAAAGCGAGAAATCACCCCCCAGGGGGGATGGTCACGCTGCAATCCCTTCTCCTCCATTCTCCTCTCGGGATCTTGGGCACGCACGCACACGCGCCCGGCGTGAGTTTTAAGCCACCGGGTCCGGGACGCGAACCGCGGTTGACTACGTGGGAGTCCAGCGACATAGCCATTACGCTAACTGCTGGTTCCCACTCATCTTTTCAGATGCTTATACAGAGGATGACCTCATGCTGTACTGGAAAAAAGGCAATGACTCCCTAAAGACAGATGAGCGGATCTCACTCTCCCAGTTCCTCATTCAGGAGTTCCACACCACCACTAAATTGGCCTTCTACAGCAGCACAGGTGAGCATGGGTGGGGGGCTGAGAGTCAGCAGGCTTCAGCTTGACCATGGTGGTTCACCACTTACTTTAGGAAAGGTATGCCACTTGTATTTAAAGATGGGAATCCTAAACAAAGCCTAGTGGCAGGCAAGTATTGGGTGGAGTGATTTTTTTAATAATACCAATGCATCACAAATGATAGTCTAGAATATTAGTAAGGCCTCAAAGGCCATGTGAGTGGGTTTATCTGAGATTATAATATTGCCAGCTTAGCTATGGGCATCTCACCCCTGATAAGCTTATCAGAGCCTCCTCCTGACAGCAAGGAACATGTTCAGTCTCAGTCTGTTGTTTTCCATTTACATTCTCCCAGCTCCAGCCAGTCCCTCTGGGGTACTTTGCCCTTAACCATTTCATTCCCTCTTTCTACAGTGGTTATACAAACTCTCCTTAAGACACTTGTGTAAGCCCCAGGGCTAGAACCAGCAGTCATTATCCCCTAGTCCTAGTTCTTGCTTTTTGAAGGATCTAAGTAAGCCTGTTACCTTCTGCTGCCTGAGGGCATGGTCTGTGGCCTTCCTCCCCAAGGCCTGCCTGTGTGACTTAAGTAGCTATGATGACCTCTCTTCACCCTTGCCTCTTTTTTGATCAGTCACCTTTCAGCATGATTTTGCTCAAATCCTTATTTATACAGTTTCTTTATTGCAAGAACCTGGCATGATTGACTGCATAGGTAAGGACAATTTTTTTTTTTTTAGGAGAGATTTTTTGCTATAGGGTGTGTGCCCTTCGTGCAGAGACAGAGAGAGACAGAGAGACAGAAGGTGAGAAATCACCCTCCCCGGGGAAATGGCCACACTGCAATTCCTTTCCTTGATTCTCCTCTCAGAATTTTGGGCATGCACACACACACCTGGCGTGAGTTTCAAGCTGCCAAGTCTAGGACTTGAACTGTGGTCAGCCACATGGGAATCTAGTATGCCACCTGCTGGCCCCAGGAAGCACAATCTTTTACATCTCATCTGTAAGAGAGAGCACTGTTGTACTTTCAATGTATTCTGGAGGCCCTGCACATCTCTTCTGCATCCATCACCCACAAATCTTGGTTCATCCAGGGACCCCTGTTCTTTGGACCCTCAGCATTCTAAAAGTCCCTCCACAGTCACTGGCTGGTTGGTATTAAGAGGCATGTCCCATGCATTATAATTACCAAGTGTGCCAGAATTCCAAGTTATTGCTGCTAGTTTATTTCAGACTTAGGCATCTAAGTTTACCCTGTTTTTTGGGTTTTTTTTTTTTTTTTTTTTTTTTTTTTTTTTTTTTGTTTTTTTTTTTTGTGGGGGGTGTGTGTTTATTATCCTGTTTCTTTTCTTTCTTTTCTTTGTTTTGGTTTTTTGGTTTTTTGTTTTTTTTTGTTTTTTGGTTTTTTTGCCAAAGGGCATGTATGCTCCCTGGAGAGAAATAGAGAGTGGGAAAGTGAGAGAGCACCCTGCATGGGGAATGGTCAGAGCACACTCCCTTCTCTTCCATTTCTCCCTCATTTGGGGATTGTGGGCATGCACACCCACACATGTGCCAGGAATGTTTCTCGAACTGCAAGGTTGGGAATTCAAACAGGGCAGTTGCCATGTAAAATCCAGAGACTTTAAATACCACACCATGAGCTGGGCCATTACCGTTTTCTTCTACCATCCTCCTTTTCCCTTTAAATCATCCATGCATTTTTTTTTTCTGTAAAAAAATAGAAGGGCTGGGATGAGAAGATGGCATAATGGTTATGTCACTGAACTCCCATGTAGTCGACTGTGGTTTGAGTCCTGGACCCAGCAGCTTAAAACTCACACAGGGCACATGTGCATGTGTGCCCAAAATCTTGAGAGGAGAGGAGAAAGGATTGTGGCACAGTCAAAATCCCTGGGGGAATGATTTCTCGCTTTCTGTCTCTCTGTCTTCCTCTATCTGGTGAGCACATGTGCCCTACAGCAAAAATCTCTCTTAAAAAAAAAAAAAGAAAAGAAAGAAAGAAAAAAAGAATAGAAGGGCAAAACTGAAGCATAACTGGACCTATAATTGTTCACTCTATTCCCAAATACAATGTTGTGTTTGTGTTTTTTGTTGTTTTCTCAGATTTGGCTATAGGGTTCATGTACTTGCTGGAGAGACAGAGAGAGAAGAGAAATCGCCCTCCCTCCCCAGAGCTGATGGCCACCCACAATCCCCCACAGAATCTAGGACCCAAACCTCACCGTTGGCCATGTGAGATCTAGCACCTTTACCACCATTCCACCTGCTGGCCCTGTGTTTTGCTTTTTATTTCAATTTAAAACACATTTCCCACGTAAAGAAATCCAAAGGGTGATATTTAAATCAATGCTTCTCAAACATTGATATGCATATGAATCACGTGGGGAATATTGTTAAATAAAGATTCTGATTCAGTAGGACTGGGTAAAACCCAAGGACCTGCATTTCTGACAAACTTCCAGGTGATTTGTGAGGCTGCTGGACTGTATTTTAAGTACAATAGTGACCTCAAGGGGTTCCCTTTGTGTGTAGGACAGGAGCCCAGGATATCTCAAGATGGATTTCCCACGTGGAGTAGGTTACCATATTCTGCCCTGTGGTTTCTCCCACTTTCATCTTGTAAAGACATGGTAAGATCCTAGTGGATGTCTAAGGCATGTGAACCCCTGAATAAAATTCATTTTATGAAGGTGCTGATGTGCTATTTTTGCTTCCTGTGTCCCCAGGCTGGTACAACCGTCTGTACATTAACTTCACGTTGCGTCGCCACATCTTCTTCTTCTTGCTCCAAACTTATTTCCCTGCCACCCTAATGGTCATGCTGTCATGGGTGTCCTTCTGGATCGACCGCAGAGCTGTGCCTGCCAGAGTCCCTTTAGGTAAGAAATATCTCAAGTGCACATCCCAAGCATCTGAAAACGAGTGATTTCTTCCAGATAAAATCATTCTTCTCAAATTGATCCCATACCCTTTTGGCATTATAACTTGAAATATCTCCAAGTTATTATCATTATTTTTAATTTTGTTTTAGGGCACACATGCTTACGAGAGAGAGAGAAAATGAGAAATCACCCCCCAGGGGGTGATCACACCACAATCCCTTCTCCTCTGTTCTGTTGGGATACACACACACACACACACACACACACACACACACACACACACACAACACACACGCCCAGTGTGGTTTTTTTTTCTTTTTTTCTTTTTCTTTTTTTGCTATAGGGCGCATGCCCTCGCCAGACAGACAGAGAGAGACAGAGAGACAGAAAGCGAGAAATCCCCCCCCCCAGGGGGGATGGCCACACCACAATCCCTTCTCCTCCATTCTCCTCTCGGGATCTTGGGCAGGCACGCACGCACATGCGCCCGGCGTGAGTTTAAGCCACCGGGTCCGTGACTCGAACCACGGTCGACTACGTGGGAGTCCAGCGACATAGCCATTACGCTAACTGCTGGTCCCCTCAGTGTGTTTTTCAAGCTGCCAGGTCCAGAACTTGAACTGTGTAAGCAGCCATGTGAGATCCAATCACCTTAACTAAAATGCCTCCTGGCTGGCCTGCTCCAAGTTAATTATTCACAGATAAAATCCCCTAATTAAGACTCTTTGTAATAAAACTGTCTCTAGGTTCCTGCAGATACCCATCCAAATAGCCCACTTTTATTCCAATTAAAGCCAAGTTCTAGGGCCAGTGATCCTCAGGTTTGGGTGCTTTCTCTGCTCACCTGCATAATGATCATATTAAGGTGGCCCCAGAGATCTTTGTGATAGAACCTGAGGACATTTTTGAAGATGAAGAGTCTCGGGTCCCATCTACAGCTATAGAATCAGATTCTCTGAGGACCAAGAACCTGCATTCTAACAATGTCCCAGTAATTCTTACACATACTGAAATCTGAGAATCCCCACCCTATAAATGTTCCATCAGTGGCTATTTGCCATCAACCCTCTTTCTCATTTTATTGTACCCACTTAATCACATACACTATCATTGCCAAGACAGTTCAGGGGCTGTAAGTGTGACCCACCAGGTTTTAGTGAAACTGGATTGGAGCTAGCCCTTAAGATGACCCCAATCCCCTGTGATTTGATGTTTGCCAAGCAAATGTTCTGAGCTTAATTTGAAATCCCAGGCAAATTTCCATGGACAGATGCCCTGTTTTCCGGCAGTTGTTCTGTAGCTTGAACAGTTACTATGCTAAATATATATACATTCTAGTTTTTAAATCTGCCTCTTATATAGGAAGTTGACATCATTATCCTAGGTAAAATTGACCTCTTGAGTCCCCAAGTCAAAAATGCTGAATGAGCAGCCAGGTCAGCATGGGGGTGGCTGCCAGAGGTGATTAATACAAGCCCAGCAACCAGCCACGTAGCCTCATGGCTAAGGGAGCAGGAGCCCACATGGCCAACTGAAGTTTGAATCCTGACCCCAGTAGCTTGAAAACCATGCCAGGCACGTGTGTCTGCATGCCCCAAGTCCTGTTGGGACAGAGAAATGAAGGAGAAGAGATTATGGTGTGACCACATCCCATCAAGGGTTGCTCTCTCTCTCTCTCTCTCTCTCTCTCTCTCTCTGACTGGACTGGCAAGTGCACATACCCTCTGGCAATTAAATTAAATCTAATTAATTTAATTTAAAAGGAATATAGGTCCAAGACTATGAGATTCTGCAACAGGAGTAAGGACACTTTTTTTTTTTTGCTTTGTAATCAGTATATTAAGGAGACAGTCATACATTTCAAGAATTGCTTAAATTCTATTAATCCAGATTTAAGCATGTGAACATATGACTTTAAAACATACAATTAAAGCTATTCATCATAATTTACCATACTACCAACATCAAATTATAGTTATTTTGGAGCATAAATCAAATGGTTTGAACTTTTTTTTTTTTGAGAGGTTTTTGCTATAGGGCACGTGCACTCGCCAGAGAGCGAGAAATCACTCCCCCCCGCCCCAGGGAGGATGGCCACGCCACAATCCCTTCTCCTCCATTCCCCTCTCGGGATCTTGGGCACGCACGCACATGTGCCCGACGTGAGTTTTAAGCCACTGGGTCTGGGACGCGAATTGCAGTTGACTACATGGGAGTCCAGCGACATAGCCACTACGCTAACTGCTGGTCCCTACATTGCAAATTTTACACCTGTCTTTAGGACTGATCTGTTCCCCATGGCCTTGGCACTCCATGTATACAGATTGAACTTGCCGAACCATTCTAGGTCATGTCTGATGAATTCGTATTTGCATTCAGTACCTCGGCAATTGGGGCAGCACTCTACTGCCCCTTTCTTACCACCTCAGCCTTCACATTTGTCACAAATCACATCCTTTTGCAGGGCCAGTTCTCTTGTTGCTCCATTATATAAATCTTCTAAGGTTACCGACAGCTGATGTACAACATTTTTACCTCTTCTTTCTCTCTGTGTCCTTCCTCCTCCTCCAAAAAACATATCAAAGATATCCATTGGAGAGCCAAAACCACCACCTGCTCCACCCTCTTTATTTGCCTGCTCTCCTCCTTTGTCATATAATTCCCTTTCCTCGGATTAGAGAGAACTTCATAAACTTGAGAAATCTGTTTAAACTTCTCACCTTCATTTGGATTCTTATCAGGATGGCACTTCAAGACCAGTTTCCTATAAGCTTTCTTTAGTTCTGCCTGGGTGGCATTGGGTTTGATCCCCAAAACATCATAGAAAATAGTTTCTCTCACCATTTCCTTTCTTTCTTTTCCTTTTTTTTTTTTTTTGAGAGGTTTTTGCTATAGGGCGCGTGCGCTCGCCAGAAAGACAGAGACAGACAGACAGAAAGTGAGAAATCACCCCCCAGGGGAGATGGCCACGCCACAAGCCCTTCTCCTCCATTCTCCTCTCGGGATCTTGGGCACGCACGCACACGCACCCGCGTCTCTCACCATTTTCTACAGCCGGTCAGCAGGCTGAGGCTGGTGTGGAGGAGCATAGGTGTGCGTAGATCGGGCAGTCTCCATCCTCAGCTTCTGACTGAGCCATTCTGGAAAGTCTCCAGGACACAAATGTTAAATCTTGTGCATGTTTCCCCCATTGCTGGAGCAGCAGTTTTAAGAAACATGTAAGAGGGTACTTCAAAAAGTTAATGAGAAAATGGAATTAAGGTATCAGTTTATTTTGGTACAAAAAAGGTTCAAATCATTTCCTAATTGTTTTCATGATATTCATTTTCCATGAACATTCTGAAGACTCCCTCATATACCTGCTCATATACTCAGACTATTATTTTTTAAAGTGGAATTGAAGTAAGTACCTTAATACCAACATATCTGGGGCTCTCTGTGAAGGATAAAGTGATCCAGATGCCCTGGTGGAAACAGGATACACAGAGGAGTGGAAGGGTGAAGTGGAGGGATCAGGGAACAAGAAAACAATCTTAAGTGTTTGCTAGAGAGGCAGGGTTGGAGACATTCTAGGCCAATGGAGCAATGGGGACAAAGAAGCAGAGGCCCAAAGCCATCCGGTGTTTGGTGGAAAACAAATGCTATTTCACACTTTTTGTTCTTGGCAGGGATCACGACGGTGCTGACCATGTCCACCATCATCACGGGCGTGAACGCCTCCATGCCCCGCGTCTCCTACATCAAGGCTGTGGACATCTACCTCTGGGTCAGCTTTGTGTTCGTGTTCCTCTCGGTGCTGGAGTACGCCGCTGTCAACTACCTGACCACGGTGCAGGAGCGCAAGGAACAGAAGCTTCGGGAGAAGGTGAATTTACCCTGAGCCTGAAGCAACTGGGCAGGAGGAAGCCTGGTTCAGCTCTGGGGCCTTGGGAGGTCAGACCATCTCTGTAAAATGGGGTCCTGATACTTCACAGAGTTTTCTGAAGAGCAAACAAAACAACGTCTGTTAAGACAGCATATTGGGATCAGCAGTTAGCGTAATGGCTATGTCGCTGGACTCCCATGTAATCGACCGTGGTTTGAGTCCTGGACCCGGTGGCTTAAACTCACACCGGGCGCATGTGCGTGCGTGCCCAAGATCCCAAAAGGAGAATGGAAGAGAAGGGATTGCAGCGTGGCCATCCCCCCGGGGGGGTGATTTCTCGCTCTCTGTCTCTCTGTCTCTGTCTGTCTTTCTGGAGAGCGTACACGCCCTATAACAAAAACCTCTCAAAAAAAAAAAAAAAAAGACAGTGTGATATTTATTCGAGGCTATATTTTTCATTCACTAGACATTTATTTGGCATCTACTATATGCCAGCTGGGTATACTAGTTAAGCCAATCACAGTCCCCTTCATCTTAGTGGTGTTCATAATTTAGTGAGGGATTTCCAGGATAAAAATAAATGAGAATTCAACCTGATGGGATAAATAATTTATAAGCATAGAAATGTACTAAAAGAACCCTCAAGCCCACCAGGTGCCGTACTGTTAAGGCTCCAGACTTCCACATGGCTGACAGTGGTTCAAGTCCTGGACTTGGCAACTTCAGACTCATTCCAGACATGTGTGTGTACATGCCCAAAATCTTGAGAGGAAAATAGAGAGGAAGGGATTGTGGTATGGCTAATTACCCCGGTGGAGGGGGGGGGTAGTGGTTTCTCACTTTCCCTCTCTCTAGCTGTGTGTGTGTCTCTAGTGAACACACATGCCCTTTGACAAAAACTCCAAAAATTTTTTTTAATAAAAAATAAAAGAACCCTCCAGGGAAGAAGAATCTCCAGTCTAAGATCCTTCACATGTGACCTCATGTATCTCTCATCATTTCCCAGGTTATCTTCCCTCCCACTGGGCTTTCCTTTCTTCCTCATCTACAGCTCAATGGTTCTCTCCTCCAGAAAACTGTTGAGTCATAATCTATACCCACAGTGTCACACCTTTTCCCTTCCCATCCCATCACACACACACACACGTAATAGTGTGCTCTGCAGATTTTTATCAGGGCTCATATCAATGTACGTTCTCATGGAGAACAGAGCGATGTCATCGTGAACATTCATGTCGGTCTCCGGTGTGACACTGGTATTTCCTAAGAGTCAATATGCAGACTTCAGTTCAATGAAAATGGATACCTGTTACTTTAGAATGTTCACAGGGGCACCAATATTATTTTCCTACTCTCTTCCCTAACTGAAAATAAAAGAAACTACAAGGCAACACCCTCCACTATGTGGTTGCTCTGTAGGGCTTCCTAGAAGTTCACATCCCAACGTGTATTTGCTGTTTGCAGCTCCCCTGCACTGGTGGGTTACCTCAGCCGGCAGCTCAGCTGGACGGCAGCTACAGCGATGGTGAGGTGAACGACCTGGGCAACTACATGCCTGAGAATGGAGAGAAGCCAGACAGGATGATGGTGCAGCTGACGCTGGCCTCAGAGAGGAGCTCCCCCCAGAGGAAAAGTCAGAGAATCAGCTACGTGAGCATGAGGATCGACACCCATGCCATCGACAAATACTCCAGGATCATTTTTCCAGGGGCATACATTTTATTCAATTTAATATACTGGTCCATTTTCTCATAGATGCCTGTAATTCTATAAATTTCACATTCTTCATGGTATGCGCTCTGGAAATACCTGTATGCTAACAAAGAATGGTATGAAAAAAATTCCCAGTACCCATCTGTGTTTTCAGTATCCTTTCCCCAGCTTTCCAAAGCTACATTGTGAAAGTGCTTTTTGGTTTAATTTGTACTTACTACCCACCTAGTGTATACACAGCATTGTACTAGGTGCGGCAGGAACTGCAGCAACTGATGTTGTTACCCAGATCTCCTGGAAAAGCGTATTACCAGCGTAGTGGCGCACTCTAGTTCTACTGCCTTTAGACCCTAGCTGCGTATTCCCAGGAATGATTTTCCTTTGTGTGAGTGTCGTTACAGTATTCTTCAGATGAGGTGACATTGGGAAGCACTTAAAGTTCATTTGCGTGGAAACTACATGCACCTAAATCCCCACTTTGACAGACACACAGACTTAATTTATAGCCCATTACCCATTTTTAAGAGCATCTCCTCATGTTTAATAAAAGGCAATGATACATCCATATCATCCTATGGTTCACAAGGTTTCACTCGTTCACAAGAAAAGCTCTTTAGATTGGTGCAATTGCTTGTGATTTTGGTGGGTATTTTTCTGGTAGGGGAACTTTGAAGATATACATGTATTTTGTCTTTTTATCATAGAAATAACTGTCAATAGGTTAGAAAACATATTGAAGTGTTCCCTGTTTTACAATGACCACTTCACATATCTCCAAGACCGTGAAGCTTCTTGTCCTTGTTCAAAATGAAGGCCTTTCTCAACACTGTAATGTAGTATCTTCACTGAGCCATTGGGAAGAGACTGATTTCTGTATAAACGACATTTCAAGAAAATGCATAATTTGGGACTAAATTATTAGAATGAGAAATACTCTCACGGTTTCTTAAGCAAAAACACCAAAAAGCAAAAGACATGGGAAGACATCAGTGGATGTCTGTATTTATAGTCAGTGAACACCAGCATTTTCTATGAGCCAGGAGACTGTCATCATCTGGACCAAGCAGAGGGTGGCCCAATGGCATTGATGTCATGGTATGGGATAAAGGAGTGTTCTAATATGATGTATTATTTTTAAATGTTATTTATACTGTCCATGTCAACCTCACCAGACTTACCCAAACAACATTTGTCTTATTTGAAACTCACTTTAATAAAGTGAATTCTATACACAGTGATGTCATTTTTAAAATTAGTTTGATCACACAAATAATATCATAGTATTTCTTCACACACAGGTATATATATATATATATTTTTTTTTTTAATTGCCAGGGTGTATGCACTTGCTGGAAACAGAGCCATAGAGCCAGAGGGAGACAGCACCCCCCTCAATGGGCATAGACACAGGGGTTGTGATCCCTTCTACTCCATTTCTCTGTCCCATCAGGATTTGGAGTGTGCATGCAAATGAGCCCAGAATGTCTTCCCAGCCATTAGGGCTAAGAATTGAACACTAGTTCAGCTCTGTGGGAGCTGAATCTTTTAACCACTAAAGTTAAGGGGTGGCGTAGGGCTATATTTTACTTAAATCTGGGGGGGAAAATCCTATTTGCATAAATCCTAATTACAAAATAATCTCCCATTTTTCTCAATAAAAGCTCATAGAAGAAAGTCTTTTGTAGAACTCAAGTAGATAAAAGGATACGGATAAAATGTTGATATTTACATTTTTTTTTTTGAGAGGTTTTTGCTATAAGGCACGTGTGCTCACCAGAAAGACAAAGAGACAGAGAGATAGAAAGTGAGAAATCACCCCCACACACACCCAGGGGTGATGGCCACACCGCAGTCCCTTCTCCATTCTCCTGTCGGGATCATGGGCACACACACACACACGCCCGGTGTGAGTTTAAACTACCAGGTCTGAGACTCGAGCTGAGGTCAACTACATGGGAGTCCAGCGACATAGTCCAGTGACATTATGCTAACTGCTGGTCCCAGATATTTACAAATATTTTTAAAGCTTTGCTTTTTCCAGGCTTACTTTACAGAACATTTGCAATCAATCTCTTCACAAACATCTTTGCCACTGTCTCCTTCTTCAGTGCTAGGGCCATTTTTTAATTATTTTTTATTTTATTTTATTTATTATTATTATTTAATTTGACCAGAGAGAGAGACTAAGACAGAGAGAGAGAGGGAAAGTGAGAAAGCAAGCTGCTAGGTCTGGAACTTGAACCATAGTTAGCCATGTGGGAATCCAGTGCCTTAACCACCACACCACCTGCCAGCTCCTGCTAGAGCCATTTTGAGTTATCTAGGTTTCCAGGGCACACCATCTGAGCCTCCATCTACCTCTTCTGGGATATTCTACCATTTGAACCAGCATACAGGATGCACTACTGGTCTGCTAAAGCTGCCACAGAAAAGTACCACAAACTGGTGGCTTAGACAACAGAAATTTATTTTCTCTCAGTTCTGGAGCCAGAAGTTCAAGATCAAGCAGGCCTGGTCTCTCTTGAAGCCTCTCTTCTGGGCTTGTATTAATAGATGACTGACTTCTCACTGGGCCTTCACATGGTCTCTCCTCTGTACACGTCTGTGTCCTAATTTCCTCTTAAAAGGTCACAGTCATATCAGTGTCCTTCTAAGGATTAGTCATATATTATCCCCCTTCCTCCCATGACCCTGCCTCCACAAATAGTCATCTGGGAGTTAGGGCAATGTGTGATATTAGCAGAGTAAGGAAGAGGGAAACAATCTGCTTCATAACTGATACCAACAGAAATTACCCATTTGTGTAATATCCCATCTAATGCATCTTACAGGTGTTTATTCTTGACATTTATGGTATAATCACATGCTGTCTTTTTTTTTTTAACTGGGGTGGGGGAGAGTGAGCTCAAAAGCATGTATACTCACTAGACAGAGACAGAAAGAGAGGAGAAAGCATCCCTAATGGGAATGGTCACGCACAATCCCTTCTCCTCCATCTCTTTCTCCTCTCTGGACTTCGAGCATGCACATACATGCACTCAGTGTGTTTCTCAAGCCACTGAGTCCAGATTTTGTGTGTGTGTGGGGGGGGAGAGGTTTTTGCTCTAGGGTGCGTGCGCTTACCAGAAAGACAGAGACAGAGAGACAAAAAGCGAGAAGTCACCCCCCAGGCGGGATGGCCATGCCACAATCCCTTCTCCTACATTCTCCTTTCGGGATCTTGGGCACGAACGCACATGTACCAGTCGTGAGTTTAAGCCACTGGGTCCGGGACTTTAACCGCAGTTGACTACATGGGAGTCCAGTGACATATCCATTACACCAACTGCTGGTCCCCCATACTGGGTCCAGATTTAAACCACACAGTTGGTCATATTGGATCTGGCTACCTTAAACCACTATGCCACATAACTGGACCCCCCTCTTTTTGTTGGATTTTTAGATTTTGCCCGAGAGCATGAATGCTTGTCAAAGAAAGGCAGAGATAGGGAAAGGGAGAGCACACCCCATGGGGAATAGTCACATGGGAATCCGTTCTCCTCCACTTCTCCATCTCATTGGAACTTGGGGCACTCACACACACACACACACACACACACACACACACACACACATGCTCAGTGTGATTCTCAGTCAAGGTCCATGGTTGGTCATGTGGGATAAGGCTGCCTTAACCACCAGGCCAGGGAGTCAACCCTGTATATTGTCCTTTAAAGTGATATATTTTTTTTTCTTAAGAGAGATTTTTGCAATAGGGTGCGTGTGCTCATGAGAGAGACAAAGACAGAGACAGAATGCGGGAAATCATACCCCAAGGGGGATGGCCACACCGCAATCCCTTCTCCTCCATTCTCCTCTCGAGATTTTGGGCACTCATGCACACGCACCCGATGTGAGTTTAACCCACCAGGACCAGGACTTGAACCACAGCTGACTAGGTGGAAGTCCAGTGATGTAACCATTAGGCCATTTGCCAGTCCCTTAAAGTGACCTTTTAAAGGCTGTTTACATTGATAGTCATTATAATAATTGTGAGAAATAAATTATTAAAGTCACATCAAACTTCTTTGCTACTTTTTCTAGCAATTGTCAGGCAATCTGAGCATCTAAAACTAGCTCTGACTGAGGTAATTTCCATGCTAATGTGTTTTCTGAAGGCAGTACTTTGCTGTCAAAGTTACACAATTGAGAGTGAGATCTGTAATAAGACTTTATAAGAACCCGAATATAAAAAACTCCCTCTTTTCTAGTGGGTAATTTTGGTGAAAACCTCATCATATGTATAAATATCTATGGTACTTAAACTTTCACTGGTGTGAAAATAAAGATTTGCGGGCTAGCAGGTGGTGTGGTGGCTGAGGCACTGGACTCCTACGTGGCCAACTGCTGCTCAATTCCTGAATCTGATGGTTTGCTTTCTTGTATTCTCTCATTCTCTGTCTCTCTCTGGTAGACACATGTGCCCTATAGCAAACTTTTAAAGTAATTTTTTAAAATTTGGTTAATAGGGGTCAGCAGGTGGCGTTGTGTTTAAGGGTGTTGAACTCCCACATGGGTAACCACGGTTTGAGTCCCAGACCTGGCAGTTTGCTTTCTCACTTTCCCTCTCACTCTTTCTCTCTCCCTCTGTCCTTCTCCAGTCAAATTTAAATAAATAAATAAAGTTAAATAATTCTTTTATTAAAACTTGGTTAATATTATTGTCTGGTGGCCATAATGAAGCTCATTTATAAAAATTTAGAACACTGGGCCCCCCAGATGGCATAATGGTTATGTCACTGGACTCCTACATAATTGACCACGGTTCGAGTCCCGGACTTGCTTTCTCCCTTTCCCTTTCTCTCTCTCTCTGGTCAAATTAAAAATAATAATCGTAGCAAACAAAATAAATTAATAATTCTTTTAACAAATAGTTAAAACACAGTTGTAAAACACACATGTAAAACACACTTAACTAAAACTATGTAAACTATAATATATTCTCTCTGCCTGTAGTTCCGAAGGCACTTCAGAATTTTGAGGGTTTCTTATCACTGTTGTAATACAGTGTGGATGTCATAACGATGTGTGGAAGTGTTAGCCAGTCAAGAATTCAGGTTAGCAAGAAAAACCAAAAACATCCATTTTCAGTCCAAATAAGAGTGAGACACAACCCCAATGACTGCAGACAAAATTGAGGCAATATATTTTGAGGCCATAAAATGGCTGACAGTTTGATTAATATGCTCAATGGAATAGTTACTTTGGCATTTTGTAAAGTAAATCTTCATATATCTAAATTTTGTGATCCCCCCAATAAGAGCCCATCAAGACTTTTATAGATCTAGTTTATTCTGAAAACTAAAAATAAGTCAGGGGATCACAATATTATAAAGAGATGCAAAAGTAAACCCTCCCACATTCCTACTATCTCCTTTGGCTTAGAAATTTAACTGACATTTCAGAACCGGTCTGC